AGGAATTGATACTATCTTTATTAATGTATCAACTGACTTAGATATTATTTCAGTTCCTTTAATAAAGGATAGACTAATAAACAATATTGGAGAATTATATTTATTGGTTTGAATGTATTTATTAATTTTAATAATATTTTGTTGCAGTCTGGGAGTTTCTTTATAGGATTTATGAAGTTCCTTTTTGAATATTTCCACTATTTTCATTAGTATTATAAATATTTATAAAATATCTTATTAAATATATTTTAGCGTGGTGTAATTAATAGCATTTTATATTCATACTATGGGTGTATAGCTCAGTGGTAGAGCAGCAGATTGCAGATCTGTAGGTCGCCGGTTCGAATCCGGCTATATACAATTAATTGCCTCTGAGGAGCGGTCACGAATATTTTGCCAAATTAAGCCATTAAAATACCGCAATAATTAATAGCTAGATTTCGCTCCTAAAACACTTGTGCTGATGTTTAACCTATTATATATTTAAATTGTGGTTTAAAGAAGGTCCTGTAAAATAGGATGAGAATACTCAATGATTTCATAATTCTTAATAATTTAGTAAAAAATTAAATATAAAAAGAGATATTTAGATGCATAGCAAAACAAATTTTATCCTTTGAATCATATTAAATTGAATTAAGAATGTTGTTAATAAATTTCTATTTATTAGGAACACCTAAGAACATTCTAATGAAGGAATTAAATGTAAAAGTAAAGTTAAATTTTAGGGTTACTTACTTTGAATTTTTATCTTTTAAAAATATATCTATTGTTAGAATCCGTTCCTCGTATTTATGTTATCTAAACCAAAAATAGGCAACCCGAGAGACCACTACAATGCATTTTGTTAATTTTTTAGTATTTTAGACGATCCATTAGGAAAAATAATTAAAAATAGTTTTAAAATTCATATAAATAAGCTATATTTGCTTTAATATATATTTATCATATCCATTAGGATATGCTTTGTCTAAAAAATGCTTTATATAAATGGAGTAGGGTCTTTGGGGAGTAGAAGAAGATGAGAGATTATATATTTGGTGGTAGAAGTGGTTCTTCTTCATGTTAATATGGGATATGATATGTATTATTTTTAATTTTATTATTTTTTTTCAATATTGCATTTAAAATCATGTGACGTATGCCATTTTATGTATTCACACTACATTAATATACTTAATAAATGAATTTTTTTAGTTTTGATCTCTGCGGTTTATATTTTAATCTTACCATAAATTTATTTGTTTTTTATTTTACTTTTTTAGGAAATAATGTTATAAAATATTTAAAATAAATTTATTCAATTTATTTTTTCAAAAAATACTTCATCTAATTGTAAAGCATTTTCTTCCTTAGTAAATTTTAAAATAACCTTATAATTAAAAAACCTTCTTAATTTACTTAAACAACCCGATTTCAAAAAAGAAATAACAAATTGTGCTTCACAATCACAGGTCAGTTGCTTATTTTTGATATTACATTCTATATCCCTGTAATCTATGCATTCTATCTTTGATATTAATGGATTATGTTTAGAAATTTCACTTTCTATAGCTTCAGCTAACGTCTTTAACTTTTGTAAATGGTCATCTCGTAATATTTCTTTACATTTATTAATTGATGTTATGCACTGTAAGAAGTTAGGAATAAATTCTTTTTCTATTGTTTTTACAGATTTCTCTAAATTATCATAATTTATTAAAGAATCCTTAACCTTCTGAAAAGAAGGATATTCCTTGGACGGCTTGTTTAATCTATTCATTATGTTGTAAAGAACTTTGTTATTATAAATATTGTCTATTCGTTCAATTACAGGAATTGATACTATCTTTATTAATGTATCAACTGACTTAGATATTA